TTGTTTTACAAATCCTGCCCCAGGTCCACTCCACTATGCAGCCTTCACTCTGAACTCCTGTCATGACAAAAATACTTAATCACATATCCCTTTTAAACAGTCTTCTCCCATAACTGTTTCAATGCAGTATACATTATTGAACCCATATTTCTCAGTGTCCCCCCAACCTTGAGGTCTGTCCTATTTTACAAAAATGACACCATGCAGTATTTGTCCTTTTGTGACCGAGATACTTCACTCAGCATAATGTCCTCCATGGTTACCCATTTTTAATAATATTGCATGAGTTCCTTGTTTTTAAATGCAGCGTAGTATTCTATTGTGTGAATATACCACAGATTCTCATCCATTCATTTGTTGATGGGCACTTAGGTTGTTTCCAGCTCCTTGCTACTGTGAACAGAGCCGCAATAATCATGGGTGTACATATATCTGCTTGGATACCAGTTATGGTCTCTTTAAGGTATATTCCCAGTAGTGGAATTTCTGGGTCAAATGGTATCTCTATTAGCAACTTTTTGAGAAAGCACTATACCTCCTTCCACAGTGGTTGTATCATTTTATACTTCAACCAACTGTGAATAAGCGTTCCAGTTTCTCCACAACCTTGCCAGCATTTTTTGCTGGTGTTCTGTTAAATTTTGCTGTTCTTACTGGAGTGAAATGATATCTCATAGTTGTTTTAGATAATTTTCTATTTCTTGTTATCATAAAGAACACTGAATCTCAGAAAAACTACACATGCTTACACATTCGCATATGCACACACACATTATAAAGACATACTCTTTACCTTACCACATTTTTTATAAAACAGCATGATATATGTATCACAGAGCAAAATAAATTCAAGTTCATGTAGTAAATCTATCTTTGTTCTTGACATATTGTTTAAAAGAGGGTTTTGCAAGCACTTCCAAGAAATGCTTGGAAATTGCATGTCAAAATTTCATGCAATTGAGAATTCTATTTCTTTGCATTTTTCTATAAAATCACAGCAATTTTAAAGTGAATCAAATATCAACAAAGCAAATTAATATTCTGGAGTAATAATGCAATTATAGTTATGTAAAGGAACTATGTCACATTCCTTATACAGAATAAAGAAAGAAAATGATAATTGGATACTATATATATGATAATTATTCACAAGACTTAACACAGAAAGTAGAAATATAATTCTAAGTTTACTTTAAAAAAATACTTTGAAAAAAGGTTTCCAATCTTCTACCAAGCAATTCAGAAAAAGCTTCTGAATTTAATGTTGTTAAAGTATCTGAAATTATCTTATGCTACCACTGCAAATATTAATCAACCTTGAATGCATTGTGGTTTCTATTTCTACATTTTATATCTGTAAAGTTTACTTCCATTTGCCTATTTGAGTATGAAAGGTAGTCATTAATAATTTTATAAAGCAAGAAAGGTTTACAATTTTAACAATTTATGCCAAAAGACAAAAGAGAAATGAAGATAATTATTATTTCTAAATGACTTAGAGACTTTAACATAAATCATTCTTAGGTCACAGACAAGCTGTTTTGGAAAACAGTGTTTGGTGTGCAAGCATAACTCTTTCTAGAGCTTGTTTGTGGATTTTATCACATATTTCCTCAAACAGGCCCTGAAATACTTAAAGGAGGAAAAATAATTGTAATATTTGCTTCATGTATTTCATGTCTACGAGTTTCACTCAGTTGCTTTCCTTCCTTCATTTTAATATGCATGCCTTTGTAATTTGTAATTTATTTATTCACCCCAGCTTTTTCACTGGCTTCTCCTTAGGTGTCTCTTGATTGCAGGTTACAATCCTCCAGAAGTGAAAGGCCTGTTCTTAAGGTCTAGTAGATTCTGGTGGATAACTAGTGTCTACCATCCACCTCATTTAGAATCACTTTGAAGACCTGATTAAAAATCCAGAATACTGGCCTTCACCACAGGGGGAGCAAATAAAAACATTTCCAGTGTGGGCTTAGCACTCCACTCTCCATTTTACTAAGATTCCCCAGATGAGTGCTAATGTACATGAAAGCTTAAAGGGAAACTGCGCTTTCAGCATGTGGTTTAAAAAGGAATGACCATCTGAATCAGTCACAGAGCTCTATAAAACTACTTATGCCCATATACCACCCACAGACACAGCAACCTAGAACATCTGAGCTGGCACTCAACCATCTGGTTTATTTTAAAGTCCCACAGGTAGCTGTTATGTGGAACACCAGCTGATAACTTGTTTTAAAGTTCCCAAACATCCTAGCTCATTTTCTTATGTAAATGCCATATCCTGTGTCTTAATCATTCCCTCCCATTTCCTCATTTTCTTAAAATACGTACTATGGCTACATAAATTAAGGTGATAACAAATAAAGGCTCAGTGTGATGCTCTTCTCAGAAGAGAATGGTTGTGGATGCTTTAAACCAGAGGATTATACTCACACACAATTAAGGGTATTTTGCAAAGGTCTTTGGAAGTTTACAAGGTAGATGTCTGGGAGCATGCTTAGATCTGCATCCCTTTCACATTTTACCCTTTGGACTGAACAAGATGTGCCAACAAGCTAAATAATTGATGAGAGTAGCCTGTTCATTAAATGAGCTATATAAGTAATGGAAACTAATTTTTATTCCATGCATATTGACTTTATATTTCCAAAAACAGAGCAGAAAATAGGCAAAATATACTATGAGAGAGAGAGAGAGAAACAGTTGATAGATAAAAGGAGGGGAAAACAGAAAGAATAATGCTATTCAAGTATTTAGAGGTGCTTGAAATGTTTCTTCTCTTAAATGTCACATAACTGTTTATCTAAAGGGAGCCCCAGTGGCACAGCATTTAAACTTTCAAGCTTCTAAAGGAAAAGTCCACTGGTTTAAGCCACCAAAGCTCTTCTATTTTAATAATTGTTCTTAAATAAACACTTTAGTAATTGTTCTTGCATATGTTTAATCATTGGTTTTGGATTTTCTAAATAACTCTCAAAATATTCTCAAAAATTATTTGACATCTGGTAAGGTTCAGCCTGGATTTTATTTCTTCTGGTTTTAGCTTTATGTTCTCTTCTCTTTCTGCTCTATACATATAAGTTGTCATCACCCACTATTCTAGCTATATTTTCTCAAAATTCAGACTTAGTAACGACAAGTCAGAGACAACTCACAGCTTTTCCTCCAGTGGTTTTCTGGTGGCTGTAAATCGCACAGGGAAAGATTAACTTTCTTTCTCTCATGTAATCAGTGGTGACTTTGAACCACCATGGCACCTCCCTTAGGTTAAGTTCAACTCCCTGTTGACTGTGCCACCAGACCATAACAAAGAATTTTTAGCAGACCGTAACAAAGATTTTTTAGCAAAGAATATTCCTATTCATTGTTGTTGTGTACTGTCAGGTTGGAATCGAAACATAGGTGACCCTCAATTGGATTTTTCAGAGCCATTTAGTCACATGGGAGGAGACTGTCCATCCTTCTCCAGTGGAGCAGCTGGTAGCCTTGAAACATGTGCCTTCAGGATTACAGCACAGCTTCTTGCCACTAAGCCAATAGAGCTCTTGATTACAATAAATAAATTCAGTGGTCTATACTATAATTGTTTTGGCAAGGAAGTGTAATTCCTAGTCTTAGAAATGTATTATTACTTCATGCAACAAATTAATGCAATTAAATATTTTAATTCTTTTATAATACAAACTAATATATATTAGATTTTAAATTAG